AAACTCAGCACCCGGGAATTTCCCTCTTTGAAGCTCTTTTTCCTGTTTTCTCCTTTGTTTCTTTGTGACTTGAGGATTTTTGTGCTTACTTAGGCAGGTGCAGCGTGAGCTGGCTGCCATCCCGGGCCTGCCGGCTCTCCCGGCGGTGCTGGGCGTCTCCGCTCCCGCTGGCTCCAGCCCGCAGGAATGCGCAGCGGGCCGGCCCTGCCTTCTGCGGCACGGGGAAACCTCCCGAGCTTCCCTGCTCCTGGAGCACGGAGTCCCGCGGGCTCCCGGCAGGTGTGAAGGTGTGTGCGTGCAGTCTGTGTGTGTGCACCCTCGTGACTTGTGAACCCAGCTTTAACACTGGAGTGTTAAAGCATCCGGAATTTTAAATAACCCGTGACTTTGGCAGCTTGTGAAAACAGCAGGCTGAGCACAAAAGGAAGCCCTGTCAGCCCCTTCATGAGGCAGGTGATGCAGCATGACATCACTCCTTAGTTCAGCTCTAATTAGGCGCTCAGGACTCCCGAGGAGGGGTTGGATGTTTGCATCAGAGGTTCAGCCCTGAGCCCAGCCTGTCCCGGCCGTGCCTGATGTGTGCAGGGGCTGCTGCCCTCCACGGCACTGCTGCTCCATTCCCGCCGTGTCCCAGCCCCGACGGCAGGCTGGGGGTGCCGTGTTCAGCTCTCTTTGGAGCAAGGACTGGGGTACGGGAGGGATGTGTGGGAACGCCCGTGCTGACAGTGAGCGATCAGCTTCTGCTCGCCACTGATGGCTGCAGGGCTTCTGGGGGAGTGGGACACACCAAACCCCCCAGCCCAGAGATGCTGGGCTCTACCCACCCTCCGTCTGCAGGAGCCAGGGCTGTGCTCTCACTGGGAGGGAAGAAAACTCCTGCTTCACTCCTTGGATTTTCACAGGATCTGTGCCTGCCCACAGCAGGAACCACCCACCTGGCCAGTACTTCAAGCACGTCTGTGTAAGTTCCTGGCAGAGGATGGTGGTGGCCAGGAATGCCAAAAATGCTCGGTGTGGGTCAGGTTGCTGGAGACAGACTGTAGTGCCTCCTGATCTGAACATCAGAGCTCACACCTGAGCCAATCCTGCAGTGTTTCCCTGCTTTGGAAACAGTGGTGTTAGGGCAGTGAGTGCCAGGGCTGCTTGTGCAGGTGCCACCCACTGCAGCTCCTGTGTGCTGCTCTTTTGTGCCTGTTTTCTGCTAATCCAAACAAATCCAGTGCATCGTGGCAGGAGCTGGAACACTGACCAGACTGACTGGGGGGGACTGCATTAGGTACCCCTGGGGATCCCAAACCAAACCCTGCACAGGGCACAGCCAGCCCTGAGCACTGTATGACCTGTCAGCTCTGGCTGGGGCAGATCCTATTTTAAAACTTCTACACCCTTTAAAAGTTGTTCATTTTAAAATGTGTTGTTTAATGTCAGATAAAAGATTACAGATGTTCTGAGCCGCTGGCAGATATCAATTGGAGACAGCTGGAAGCAGGCCTTTGCCTTGGCTCACGTGGACAGGTTTGTAAAAAACAGTGCCAGCTGAGACTGTCTCAGTGCTGCTGAATGGGAAACTCCTGAGCAGGAGTTAGCAGAACACTTGTGTTTTTTGAGGTTCACTTCTAGCTGCAGATGCCAGTATCCCCTGGCACAAGGAATGATGAAATCCAGGCGCAGGCTGCCAGGCCAGAGGGAGTGGTGGCTGTGCAGGCTCTCTGTGAATGCCCTCCCATGCTCTTTGTGTCACATGGGCTGTTGGGACACATCCCTGGTGTGCTGGCACCTGGCTCCCAGGTGCTGTGAGCTCGTGGTGATGTGAGCAGGGCTCTGCTGCAGCTGAGAGCCTGGTGCTCATCCCCATCCTGCTCCCTGTGCAGGGCAAGGAGGGCTTGCTCTGAGGAAGAACAGCACAACAAAGCCTTTTCCAGCAAAGCTTGCAGGTGGAAACACGTCTTCAAAGTCCAGCTGCCTGTGGCTCTCTTTGGGCCCAGCTTTGCTGCTGTGCTGCTCAGGGCAGGGGCTGGCTGCAGCCACAGCTGCCTGTGGCTCTCTTTGGGCCCAGCTTTGCTGCTGTGCTGCTCGGGCAGGGGCTGGCTCTGTGCTCTGCAGCCACAGCTGCCTGTGGCTCCCTTTGGGCCCAGCTTTGCTGCAGTGCTCCAGAGCAGAGCTGTGCTGCTCGGGGCAGGGGCTGGCTCTGTGCTCTGCAGCCACAGCTGCCTGTGGCTCTCTTTGGGCCCAGCTTTGCTGCTGTGCTGCTCGGGCAGGGGCTGGCTCTGTGCTCTGCAGCCACAGCTGCCTGTGGCTCCCTTTGGGCCCAGCTTTGCTGCAGTGCTCCAGAGCAGAGCTGTGCTGCTCGGGGCAGGGGCTGGCTCTGTGCTCTGCAGAGCCCCCGGCCGCCCCATCCTCCCCTGCTGCGGGGGGAGCACGGGCCCCACGCTCGGGAGACAGATGTCATTAAAATGCACTGGAACAGAGTCTGAAGTCAAATATAGTGCTGTGATCATCTAGGTCGTGCAGCTTAATGACTTCACTGTTGAATGCTAAATTATTTTTGTTGCATTTTTAGTAAGGCTCGTGCGGGCTGTGGGAAACAAACCCCCGCTGGCCCCGGGAGCTGCGGGGCTGTGCGGGCGGCGGGGGCTCCTCCATCCCGCACCCGCCCGTGCCGGGGCTCCCGCATCTCGTGCCGGGGCTCCCGCATCCCGCAGCCGCCCATGCCGGGGCTCCCGCATCCCGCAGCCGCCCCTGCCAGGGCTCCTCCATCCCGTGCCGGGGCTCCCGCAGCCGCCCGTCCCGTGCCAGCCCCGCAGGCTGAGCGCCTGTCCCCGCACCTTGCGGGCTCCGGGGGTTGCGGGTGGCGCTGGGGGTGGCCTCCTCAAACAGCACCCGGCAAGTCCCCGTTTGGGTATTTAATGTGGGAGCACTGACTCGGGGTGTTCAGAACAGCTCAGAAATGCGGAATGGCCGTTTGGGGAACTTCGCTTCGCAAGAGTCACCAGCGCACGGGCACAAAGGAGCGAGGGGTGACACGGCGGGCTCTGTGTCCCGGCCCGGGGGTGACACGGGCAGCTGTGGCAGCAGGACACGGGCAGCAGGAGGCACGGGCCGGCCGTGCCCGGCTGAGTCCCGCCGAGCAGGGCTGTGCCAGCAGCACGGTCTGGATCCGAGCCGGGGCAGCACCTGTGGATAACTGTGCTGCCACCGTGGCTTTGCTCGGCTCGCAGCGGTGCTCCTGCTCTGTTCTCTCATTGCTGCTTTGAACTGCTTTTCCTGCCTGATTGTTCCCTCAATCAAAAGAAAATGAGCTCCAATTGAGGTACCTCACAGTGCGATTTGTGTCGGGTTGTGGCCGCTGGGGACCCTTTGAAGAGCAGCAGTTCTGAGGCTGGATTCAGTGGGTTCGCAGGGGAAGGGGTGGATCCGCCTTCCCAAGGGAATCAGCAGGAGCCCGGTGCGGCTCATGCAAACCCGAATTTTCATACAGAGCGAGGTTGTGTCGTGTGGGGTGGGAAGGAGCCTGGCAGCAGCGCTGCAGCGGGGCTGAGGCCATGCAAACCCCAATTTTCATACAGAGAGAGGTTGTGCCGTGTGGGGTGGGAAGGAGCCTGGCAGCAGCGCTGCAGCGGGGCTGAGCCGTGCCAAGGGCGGCTCCGGGGCCGGGAGCTCTCGCAGGCGTGCTCAGACTTGCTCTCTTGGGGCAGGAAACGTTTTCTACCGTCCTTGTGCTGAGGCTTCCCGCAGCCCAGGGGACCCTCAGAGCGGGTCTGTAGTGACAGAAACTGCTCGTGGTGGCTGTTTGGTTGGTGGAAGGGCTGTGCAGATTCTAATGTGTCATCCTAGGATTTCATTAATAAACTTTTAAAAGATAATGAATTAACCTATTGAGAGCATTAAGCTTTAACAGTGCTGGATTTGAGCTGAAAGAAGTTAAATGAAGCCCTCTGCCTACATCCTGCCAAGGCGGAATCCCCCTGGATTGTAATGGTGGATATGTACTAAAATCTTGGAACTCAAAAAAAAAAAACCCAAAAAAGAGATTATAACTCCTGTTGGGGACCTACGTGGTTCAAGTAAGTGTTGGGAGATGTTTGAAGCCCAGACAGCAGTTACCTGGTAGATGTGTTTGTACCACACGTGCTCTTTATTTTACCCCTTGAAAGGTCAGAGGAGCTCGAGGTGCCCAGGCAGGGATGGGCACAGGAACCAAACCCTCAGTGACAGAGACCAGGCCAGTGAGGTTCCACTCTGGCTGACAGGGGCATCTCCGAGGATGGGCTGTCCTGGGATGTGTCTGGTCCCAGGCTGCCTGGAGATGGAGGTTTGGCAGGGCTGGGGAAAGGAAGCTGGGGCTGCATGAGTGACTGTCTCCTAAAAATGAAAACCAAACCCAGAATGGCCCAAAAGGCCCTAAAAGGCATCAAGAATTACAAATAGGGATTGAGCACTAACGAGAGAATATCTCAATTAGATCTCTCAACCTGTAGAGGAATGCATTAGATTAAATGAAACTGAGCTTTGTTCTCTCAGGGTTTCAGTGTGAGAATGGGAGAGGAATTATTCATTTTAATTTGCAATTTGTGAGGCTGGATTGCTTTTTCTCTGAACTTGTCTTTTTAACTTTTTACCTTGTCAGAAAATTATGAAAAGCTACTGGGATGATGTATTTGGGGTAGTTCTTAGCACGTGGCAGAAGCATTTCCATGGTTTCAGAAACAGGGGTAGAGTTTCCCATTTAATTCTCTCCTCCCAGGTTAACTCCTTTCTTGCTGTGGTGTCCAGCCTGGCCCCCACTCACCAACCTGCTTTTGACTTCACTACCAGTGATATTTTCTCTTTGTGAATTCCTATCAATATTTAATAGAGTGGAGTCAGTTTTGCTGTAAGATGAGAGGAACTACTAGAAACCTTGAATTATACATCATGTGTGGGGGGGAGGCTGGAAGTGTTTTCTGTTGGGCCCAGAGCTCCTGGGGCCGCTCTGCGGGAGCTGCAGCTGGGCCCCGGTGATGGAGGAGCCCCAGCAGCAGCAGCCGCAGCTCGAGGGGCGGCCCCGCAGGGTGAGGTTCAGGATCTCCTCGGCCTGCAGCGGCCGCGTGCTCAAGCAGGTCTACGAGGACGGGCAGGAGCTGGAGCCCCCGGCCAAGGAGCGCTCGCGGCGCTTCCTGCGCCACAGCTTCGAGCCCGGGGAGCCCCTGTGCGGGCCCGGGGAGCCGCCCGGGAGCAGCGACAGCCTCTGCTGGCCCACGGCCCTGACCGCCCGCAGGATCAGCGTGCTGCGGGAGGAGCAGCACCAGCGGCTGCTGGGCAGCGCGGGCCTGCTCCGTGACTGCCGCCCGGGGACGGGCCTGTGCGGGGTGAGTGCTGTGCCCTGACAGCCTGAGGGGAAATACTGCCCACCGTGTCCCTGACAGCCTGTGCGGGGTGAGTGCTGTGCCCTACCAGCCTGTGAGGGGAAATACTGCCCACCGTGTTCCCTGACAGCCTGTGTGGGGTGAGTGCTGCCCTTGGGTGTCCCCTGACAGCCTGTGCGGGGTGAGTGCTGTGCCCTGACAGCCTGTGCGGGGAAATACTGCCCACCGTGTCCCTGACAGCCTGTGCGGGGTGAGTGCTGTGCCCTGACAGCCTGTGCGGGGTGAGTGCTGTGCCCTGACAGCCTGTGCGGGGAAATACTGCCCACCGTGTCCCTGTCAGCCTGTGTGGGGTGAGTGCTGTGCCCTGCCAGCCTGTGTGGGGTGAGTGCTGTGCCCTGCCAGCCTGTGTGGGGTGAGTGCTGTGCCCTGCCAGCCTGTGTGGGGTGAGTGCTGTGCCCTGACAGCCTGTGAGGGGAAATACTGCCCACCGTGTCCCTGACAGCCTGTGCGGGGTGAGTGCTGTGCCCTGCCAGCCTGTGAGGGGAAATACTGCCCACCGTGTCCCCTGCCAGCCTGTGAGGGGTGAGTGCTGTGCCCTGCCAGCCTGTGAGGGGAAATACTGCCCATGGCCATGGCTGTGCCACTGCCAGCCTGTGAGGGGTGAGTGCTGCCCTTGGGTGTGCCCTGCCAGCCTCTGTGGGGAAATACTGCCCATGGCCATGGCTGTGCCACTGCCAGCCTGTGAGGGGTGAGTGCTGCCCTTGGGTGTCCCCTGACAGCCTGTGTGGGGAAATACTGCCCACCGTGTCCTCTGAAAGCCTGTGCGGGGTGAGTGCTGTGCCCTGCCAGCCTGTGCAGGGCTGCCTTCACCCATGGCTGTCCCTTGACAGCCCCTGCAGGGTAAATGCTGCCCATGGCCATGGCTGTCCCCTGCCAGCCCCTGCAGGGTAAGGGCTGCCCTTGCCTGTCCCCCTCTGGGCTCAGCTCCAGCCTAAATCCTGCTTGGGGGAACGTGCTGACAGGAGCCTCACACCTCAGCCTCATCCACATGAAACTCTTCTGTCAGGCCAGGACTTGAAAAGGGTGCTTGTGAATCTCCAGCCACTGTTCCAGGAATTCTGTGTGCTGAATATGGCACATGTGGCAGGATCCTCAGGGTCTGCAAGAGGGAACAGCATCTGCCAGCGATGCTCCAGCTTCTCCTGGTCTGGTCTGCATCTGTCCATTGGGTAGAGTAAAAGAGAATTTCCTTACCTATTGCTATCTGTACATGGGAATCCTACTGCATCTAGATCAGTCAAATGTAAGGAGGATGTTAAGTTAATGAGATAGATTTAAAATATTAAAGTTGTGTGACTTTGGCTGGCAGGAAGCCAGCGCTGCCATCGCTGTCTGCATCCCCTGGCAGCCAGAATTCCTCTTTGGCTACTTTGACAATCCCAGCTTAGTTTCACTGGCTATTTTCTTAACATGTTATTAATGCCACTGATAGAGAACTGCTTCTTTAGTCCTTATAAAGAGGCAGTACATGCACAATATGTGTAAATAATTTTTATGGCCTAGATTTGAACACACTGAAAGTCTGTTAATTCCTGGTGCTCATCAAAGCTGCATGTGGGAAGCCCAGATGGCTGATATTTGACACACTGGACATGCAGTTTGCCTGCAAACATCAGACCACGATGCATCTCTCCTGCCCGAGGGCAGTGCCCTGCTGTGATCTTATCCAGCCCGTTTAATTTGTTTTGCATTCTTGGGTAATGCTCCTCTTCCTCCCCAGTGTCCCCAGCCACAGATACCTGGAGTGACCACGCTGTCCAGTACCAGCTTGTGCTGCATCCACATGCACTGGGTGCTTGCAGAGCCGTGTCTGCTCCTCCCCACAGGGAGCAGGTGCCAGCTGCCAGGAGAGCACCAGCCACCGCAGCAGCTGATGTGTCTCAGGGCATTTGTAGGAGAACGTCTCCTTTTGCACGGCTTCCTGACACAGACACTTAGAATGCCTGTGAAATATGAAGAGTGTGTAAAACAATAGGCTCCAGTAACTCCATATGACTCCAGGGAGGAGGGACCAGGTCAGCAAAGTGCTGCTCTCAGGGAAATGTTGGACCAAGTTTAGCTTTAAAATGACTAGAAAAAAATACAAATTCACCCAGCTGGCTGTACCTCCACCAGTTTGCAGGGTGGTCAGGGGAGCTGGCCTGGGGCAGGGGACACTCTTCCGGAAGGGACCACCAGTGTTTGCAGAGTGAATTTATCCTGGTGAGACACTGGAAACTTCCTTCTTCAGGCTTCCCCAGCTGTAGATTTTGGCAAGATCATCATCTACACCAATAACCTGAAAATCATCCGTGCCCCGATGGACCAGAAGGAGCTCATGAGAAGAATCATCCAGACAGAGGGAATAAATGACTGGACATTCGTGTACCGGGAGAAGAAAGAGCGCCTTAGTGGCGGGCATAAAAAAGATGTGGAGAATATGGTCACTTGCAGCCAGTATGTGCAGGTAAGAGAAAATGGAATGTGCTTTTTCCCCACAACCCTGGTCCAACCACCCGAGCCCCATCCCTCTCTGTATCTGGCTCCCAGCTAAGCTTGGATAAGAAGCAAATGTTTTCTGTTTCCCTCGGGAGATAACGACCAACACTGCTGAGATGCTGCTCTGCGGACAATGCTGGCTCCAGGTGCTCATGTCTCCCACTGATTTCTTCCCCTGGAGATGGCTGGCATTTACAGGGCTTGGCTGGGCTCCATCCCTGGTCACCCCTCCCAGTGGGATAAGAGCAGGCCAGAGTTTCTCCAGCCTGACAAGGCTAAACACAGCTGCTCTGTGGCTGAGACTGCTTCAGGCTAAAATTTTAGCATCAGTTGAAATAAGGTTGTGCCTTACATTTGCTTTCTCACGGGGGAGTCTTTGTTGGTCAGAATCCCAATTAGTCTGACCATGATTTGATCCCACAAAACCTAATGCTGTCATGTGGAGCTGATACAGTTTCATGGAACTGAGCGTGGGTCACTGCGGTCCTTCTGCTCCCAGGAATTTCAAGGTGGGATTTGAAAGAGGCTGCCTGGCACAGTGGGAGAGAGGCAGGCACAAAGCACAGCTCAAAAGAAAGCGTGCATGCTGGTGATGAGGGATTTGGGCAGAGAGGGTGACGAGCAATCCCTGAAGAAATGAAGTGTGGCTCAAACCTGAGGCTACAGAGTGGAAATGGTGTGATAAGAAATGGCAGGAGGATGGGTGGAGCTGTGCAGAGGAGAAAGATGAGTTTGGAGTATGCTGCTCATTTTCTGCTGCTCATTTTCTAGCAGCAGCCACAAATTGTCCCCAAGCATGTGGGAGCCTTTTTGTCCAAGTCCTTGCTGTGGAGAACTGATTGTCATGGGCAGAGTGGTGTGTCAGGAGCAACTGTGATGGCAAAGGCTGGGAGAGAGAACTTCCCTCTCCCAGGAATGCTCCTGACTTTGGTATCTCCCACCCACTAACGAGTGTTTTTCTGTGTCTGCTGCAGGAGGGCGATGCTGGGCACGGCTGTTCCCAGTGCAAGGGCTCGGGCTGCGCTCCCTGCTCGCTGTGCCACGGGAGCAAGTTCTCGATGCTGGCCAACCGATTCCGGGAGTCCTACCGGGCGCTGCGGTGTCCGGCGTGCGACGAGAGCGGCCTGCAGCCGTGCCGGGTGTGCGCTGCCTGAGCCGGCCGGGCCCGGCCTGCCCGCGGCGGGGACGGGGTTAACACCGGGGGAAGGCGCTCGGGACACGGGGAAAGGCGCGCTTTGGACATGGGGAACGCTGTCCGTGGGGGAAAGGCGCTCGGGACACGGGGAACACTCTGTATGTAGGGAAAGGCACTCTGGACATGGGGAACACTCTGTACATAGGGAAAGGCACTCTGTCCATAGGGAACACTGTCCATGGGGAAAGGCGCTCTGGACGCGTCTCACTGTGGGTGTGAAGCTGCTCCTCCGAGCAGGAGAGGGGCAGTGTCAGCGCCTGTCAGGTGTGCAGGTGGTACCCGTGCAGCTGCAGTCAGTGCTGGGACCAGTCTGTACCAGTGCAGCTGCAGTCAGTACTGGGACCAGTCTGTACCAGTGCAGGTGTGCAGGTGGTACCAGTGCAGGTGGTACCTGTGCAGCTGCAGTCAGTGCTGGGACCAGTCTGTACCAGTGCAGCTGCAGTCAGTACTGGTGCCAGCTGGTACCAGTGCAGGTGTGCAGGTGATACCAGTGCAGCTGCAGTCAGTACTGGGACCAGTCTGTACCAGTGCAGCTGCAGTCAGTACTGGTGCCAGCTGGTACCAGTGCAGGTGTGCAGGTGATACCAGTGCAGCTGCAGTCAGTACTGGTGCCAGCTGGTACCAGGGGTGCTGGTACCAGTGGAGTCCAGCCCGGGTCTGTTTGTCCCAGCAATGCCTCTCTGGGTTTAACCTGCTGGGCACCAACAGTGGCACTGCTGTTGCAGTTCTTTCTCTGTGCCCTGCAGGGTCACAAGCATTTCCCGAGGTTTTGCTGCTCTGACACCTCCTTCAGTGACACACGGGTTCCTTTGGGGTCTGATTTATGGTGGGAATTGAAAACCCTTCCCAAACCTGAAGGTATAAAAAAATGTATGTGAATTTATTACTTTAAATAAGAAGTTATGAAGTTTTAGCCTCCCTACAAGGAAGGGCTGAATTAAAATGCTGCTCAGCACTTCTCAGGACCAGGCTGAGGGTGAGCAGCACAGCTCTTGCTTAATGCTAATCCCATGTTGTAATCTGCAGCAGGTAAACTCTAATTAGTGAGATGAAGCAACGATGGGGATCCTTTGCAGGCTGCCACTGGCACACAGAGCACAGGGGCTGTGCTGTGGGAGCCTGAGGTAAACAGGGGAAATGCTATTTTTTCTCTAAAGCATTGACTTATTACTTTTTATATTCAGGAGTGATGTCAGAGCAGCCTTAACTCCTGTATACCTCTGAGACCCTGATGAGTTAGAGGCTGCTCATGTGTGCTTCACGCTGAGGCTGCAAGCCCAGGCAGGGTCATTTATGGCCAAGTTTCTCTTCTCCTGTGGTAGGTTACAAGGTTTCTCTGCAATACTGAAATTATTCAAAATAATACTGTTCTAGCTCCTCCACTTCCATGTGTCTTCTGCTGAAATTGTGCTGTGGGTACTGAGGGTTTCTTTTTTTAAAAGTGCATCAATCTACAGGAGATACTTGATCGGCCTCATTCATCATATCAGTACCTGCAATGTCAGAAAATGTTGTCCTTGGGGTATCACTGAGGGCAGGTGAGACTTCCCAAATCAGAAATTGCTGTCAGGCAGGTCCCTTCCCTCAAATGCAACCTGTTTGATCTCAGTTTGTTGGGCTTGCTGGAGAGTTTGCTGGCCTAAGATAAGAAAAAAGTAACCAGGCAAAATTGCCTGATAGTGTTTACAATAAAACTAGACACAAATATGCACTTATAAAATCAATATTTATTGTTCTTTGGTAATGATGATGTTTCTCAACCGCTGTCACTCCTCCTGGCTGTGTCAGCAGTTCCCATCATGTGGGCATGGCACAGGAGTGATGCCTGCAGCCAGGAGCTGAGCTCTGCCCCTGCTCAGTCCTATCCCACAGGTTCCAGTGTCCTGGGGGCCAAGCAGAGCAGGGATTTGCTTCCCCAGCTTCCAATGTACTCCTTTCATTTTTGGTAATACACTGGCTTGATTTACCCAATAAATGCTCTTATTTCACCTGGCAGAAGTTTGAACTTTCCTGCACCATCCTGGTGAGCAGACTGCTGAGGCAATGGACTGCTTGTCACCTGCTGCTGCTGTTATTTCTGCTGCCTTCAGAGCCCCCATCCCTCCCCTCTGGGCTGGTGGCACAGGGTGGAGGGCACAAGCTGAGCCCCAGCGCTGCCCTGTCGGTCTCTGTCACCAGCTCAGCGGCACAGGTGGCACAGACCTGGCTCTGGCCATGGCCAGCCTTGATGGGCACAGCTGAGGCAGTGCCCAGGGCTCCTCGTGATGGGCAGTGCCCCCCTGGCTCCTGCTGCAGCTGGACAGAGAGTTCTGCTGGGTGACCTTTTACCAAAAACTGTCAGATCTTTACAAACTGGATTACTTCATGGGTCGGGGCAGGAGTGGAGGATGACGTGTTGCGCTTCTGCTGAAAAATAACAAGTTTTTCCTGTTTGCTGAAGGCCTGGAAAGATGACATGGGACTGGCTGAACTCAGCAGCCTCTGCATGTGATCCCAGCAGGGTCAGCTCAAGTGTCTCTGATGAGAATGGTGGAGGAAATACAGGAGTCTCTAAAAAATGTGGGTTTGGTTTAATTAAGCACCTGGGTTTTTTTCTGGCGTTTAATGGCTCAATAATAGAAGCAGACCCCTGAAGTGGTGGTGTACCAAAACTCAAACTGTCCTGCATGTGATATTCTTTTACAGAGGAAAACCCCAAATATCTCTGCAACTGCCAGGACTTTGAACAGTAAATACAGGCAAAGATGCTTAGTCTGGAGTCTATTTCTCATGGTTTTTGTTAACTTTCTACAGCTGTTCTTGTTTTGCCTTATAATGGGAGCACGCGAAAAGGAATTTAAAGGTTTCTCTAAAGAAAAAACAAACTGCAGAGTAAAAAGCAACCATTTGTTCTCTTGCCCTGCTGCAGAACTGCAGAGCTGTGTCTGGCAGCTCGGGCAGCCTCATCCACTGACTGTTGTTGGCTGCCACACCATGGCCAAGCGATGGATGTGCTCTGCAAGAGGGGGAAAACTGGGAGCAAACTCGGGAGAGAGAAGCCAGGGCCTCCTCTCGCTGACCTCCTTGAGTGCTTGGCAGTTCCAGGCGAAGGGAGAAGCAGAGTCAGTGCTCTTGGTGGTGGTGGAGGGTTTGAGCCAGAGCAAAGGGAGTGCAAAGGGAATTGTTTCCATGTTCCACATTTGTGTGAGACCCAGGAGGGGCGGCTGGAGCTGAGCAGGGTGCAGAATGGGAGTTAAATGGATAAATAATCCTGTTTGTGGGTGGTGCAGGGTGCTGCATGGCTCCAGCCCAGAACACAGTGGCATTGCAGGGGCGATTCCCAGAGTTACTAATAAATGCCTTGGTTAAAGCTGACTCCTGCTCCTGCCTGGTTCTCTCTGTTGTGACTCTGCAGGTGGAGCCCTGGAATGTTGCTGTGCTGCAAATCAGGCTGGGAAGGTGTGACCAGACGAGCTCTCAGACACCAGGGCCAAGGCTCTTGGGGTTCTTCAAGGTCATGTTAGTGCCAAGACACCTCCTGGCCCACAGAAATGCCACGTGTGGGCTCAGCTGGGGGATTTGTGTATCAGCTGCACCTTGTGGTCCATGGGGATGGAGCACAGAGGTCCCTTGGACAGTGGAAAGCGCCACTGTGGGGTTTGGGAGTTTTTGGGTGGCCTTTAATTGATTGCAGGGGTTGTTCTAAAGTGAGTCCATGACCTGGGAACAAAACTTTATTCAGGTATGATGAATTGATCTGTATTTGAAAAATGCACGTCCATATGTGAAAGGGTTTTGTATTTATCAATCTTTATCACAGTGACTAATCTGTGCAGTGGGTTTTTAATTTACGTTCATTTACAGCCACCACCCTTCCAAAGCAGAAAACAAGTGGAGGAATCTGGAAAGCTTTAGCTGAATTTGCAATATCACTGCCTTATTTCCCTGCAGTTAAAAAAGAAAGAATCAGAATATTTATGAGTTTAAACATTATTATTTTTGCGAGTCTTTGAGGATGTCGTTTTGATTTATGTGAGCTACATTTGATCTACATGTAAAGCCAGCCCTTCACTGCTTTGAAATCTTTTGATTTTATACAAACTGCTCTATGTGAGCTGCAGTGATGTCTCTGCTGCAGAACTCTGTGCAGCCCAGTGATTCCCCTGCAACAACTTCTGAGAAACACCATGGTGTCCTCTGGAAAGGATGGCTCAGGTTCCAGCCAGCACAGGTACATGGGCTCTGAACTCCCTGGATTCAGAATAATGGCCAGTGTGACCCATTCTGCTTGGTGCTGCTAGTGGGAAACTGTCCATGCATTTGCTGGATGATGGGTGAGAGCACAGGAATTCTTAGTGTAGTTTTATTTGCTGGGTTTTTGCAAGTGGGGAATGGCTGGTTCTGCTTGGAGCAATGTGAGGGATGGCCCTGGAACCACTGGGACCCCCAGGCTGAGGTGCTGAGGGATTCTGGAAACACTCAGAGCCAACAGTGGGATGGGAAAAATAATTTGGACCTATGGGTGGGCTGCAGGCAAAGTCAGTTTTGTGGTTGCTTTATGTCCATCAGTGTGATGGAGGTCAAATAAGCAAATCATTCTGGGAAGAAATTCATTACAGGAGCTCGTTAACGATTTTAGGAGAAGTGTGCATGCTTTGTGGGGATACCTGTCCCTGCTGGGCTTGGGCATTCTGAGGGATGGCATGGGCACAGCTGAGGGCCGGGGGTCCCTGAGCCTGGGATCTCTCTCCCCCAGGTGTCTCAATCTCCCCAGGTGTCTCTCTCCCTCCCCAGGTTTCTCTCTCTCTCCCCCCCTCCCCAGGTGTCTCTCCCCGGGTCCCCCCGCGGGCTCTGGGGATGGCCACACGGTGGCGCCACTGCCCGGGAGGTGCGGGGGACCGAGGGACAGACGGACAGCGGGACGGGGGACACGGGGACCGAGAGACACCGAGATACACCGGGGCCAGGGGGTGCGGAGCG